CCACGTCATCCGTTGGCGGGGAACACTATATCAAAATTTCAGCCGCCTAGGTTTTGTGGTTCTCGATTTGAAAGTGTGGGACAAAATGTGGGACACACACACACAGAGACAACTCCGTGACAATAGGCGTTTTGTAACGCTGTTAAACAGTACAAAACGCACAGTGAAACGGAGTGAATTCCTTAGTCATTTCGCTGTTCTTTTCAACATCAGCGGTGTTTTCCCCTCATCAACGACGGCATATTCTCTTCGGCGACGGACTTTATTCTTCTTCCTTCACAACGATCAACGACGGTATTCTTCTTTCTGTTTACAACGACGGACTGTATTTTTTTTTCTTTCATTAACGACGTCAGCGATAGGACCCCTTATTTCTTCATCAACGAGGTTAACGGTATTATCGTTGAAGCCGGCCTATACAGTTATCAACGGACAATTCATCTGTAATTCGTATTGAGATTTATTTCTTGAAAATTTTCCCACCACAAATGCTTGCTCCCCTGTAAAAGATGAGCCATTTATATTCATCCATGTTGAGACGTTCGATGAGCAAATTGTACCAGGTTCGAGGAAAAACATCAGGAAGCGGAAATAGGTGCAGCTATGTTTGAGGCGGTACAAGACCTGACGCAGTACACGTTGGGCTTCATTTTCTATTATCTGGGTCAAAAGTGGAAATGGCCAAGGTGTGCGAGGGATATGACGTCCCGCTGAATTCATCAGTCGAAGCCTCTCAAGGGAAAGAAGTGGAAATAGCCATAGTGATTACGACGAGGGCAGCTTCACCAGCCAATACTCCCGATCTCGGTTTTGTTGGAGATCCGCAAAGAGCGGCAGTGGCTCTATCCCGAGCCAGGCAAGGCCAGATTGTGGTTGGCTATTTTGAAACTTTATTTCGGACCAGTTATTGGCGCGGACTACTGAAATCATTTAATGAAAAAATATTAATTGTGGGACAAGATTACGTCGAGCATCTCAAATCGCAGAAAGCGAATTATATTAATGGAATTTTGCTGGACGATGCGTATACACCCTCCGCAATTGATTTGCCTTGGGCACCACGAGAATATTGAATGCAACGCGTACATCCAAGCCAGTAATAATGATGCGACGAGTGATTTTGTGAATTTGTTTTTGTGTAGCCGCTGCCCATCGAACTTGAACAGTAGCCCCGCTCAAGCGCTTTGGTCCCGAGTTTCACCTGCTGTAGCCGGTCTTAGGGCCACAATCGTAATTTTCAGATCGGGGACGATCTTGTGGAAAGATGGAAGCTGTAAGGAGCGAGAGATGGTCCCTGGAATGTAAAAATGGAAATTGGCAATATTTAAAGATCAAAAAATCCGTTTTTCGAATACGATGATTAATGGAGGTGCTGGTGCTACGAGCTGATCAGATGCTCGTGTGGC